GTCTTGTTTTGAAGGAACACTGGGGGGAAGGAAGAGAAGAAAAGAAAAAGGTTCCTAACAACACCCAGGCAAAACCCTCACATGGCAATCAGGAATCTGATCACGATCCACCTTCCCACCCTCCTGTGTGTGTGTGGGGGGGGAGACTAGCTAAATGAAAATTGCCACTTTTCCAGAGTAACAGCCCTTTGTTCCTTGTTAAAGCAGTTCATGCAATCAGGGACTTCATATTTCACAACTTGAGGGAGGCAAACAGTTTTATTTGTGGAAAATGAAAATCAAGAAAATGAAATCAATCTGTCCTGTTGCACGAAAGACTAATTGAAAGACAGAGATTCCCACTGAAATTCCTCATAGTCAGCTCCAGAAGATAGCATGCTGGGTCTTTGCAAATGCACATGATGGGTGCAAAATCCTCCTGCTCCCAACATAGTACTCATCCAGACTTCCACTTGCCCTGCTCCTTTTCTCCAGGAAAACCCAGTAAATCTTTGCCGATGAATTGGATCAAGGCTCAGTCAGGATTTCCAGGGACTGATGTTTTCTCTGATTCAGTGCTAAAGAGTTTCCCCAGGGAAAGTGGCAGAGCAAACACAAAGCCTCTTGGGTCCGTGTTTTCTAGGCACAGGACAGGTGGAACTGTGGATGAACCCATGGTCACTGTTGTCCTCATTTCCTAAAGGGGAACCAGAAAAAACGCTGAAGGTGACATGAAAGGATTCTCCTCGCCCTGCGTGCCCAACCTTGTACAGGTTTAAGCTCATAGGTGGTGTCTTTCTTCTTAGAGGCAAGTTCCATGCCAGAAATAATCAGGGAGGGAAATGAAATCAAAGCTGCCAGTACCAAAAATTACCATTATACAAGTCTATGTTGCAGCCGCATTTGGAGCCCTGTGCACAGTTCAAAAGGATATTGTGGAGTCAGAACAGGCTCAGAAAAAGGCAAACAAAGTGATCCAGGGGATGGAGCAACTCACCTATGAAGAAGTGTTTAGGACCTCTTAGCTTAGAAAACGGCAAGTCAGAGGAGCCATGACAGAAGTTAATAGAATGATGCCTAGTACAGAGCAAGTAGACAGAGGAAAGCTTTTCTCCCTCTCTCATAACTTGAGTACAGAGTGGAAGATTCATGACAGATGATGGAAAGTACTCTTTCACACAACACCAAGTTAAACTCTGGAAGTTGCTGGATTGGATCAATTCATGGAAAAGGCTATCAACAGCTACTAGTCATGATGGCTATGCTCTGCCTGTGCTGGGTCCTGACAGTTGGGACCTCCTCTTAAAGACCCCCCACCCAAATGTATTACAAAAATGTATACAGTATGTGTTGCATTTAAAGGAGTTTGTCCCCACAGCTCATTCCCCTGCCCCACTAGTTAGAAAACAGGACTCAGACTTTAGACTTTTGCTAATGGAGGGGTGCTCTTTCCACCGGAAAAAACAACCAACTCATTTAAGCTGTGCATTCCAAAACGCACATCTCTGTTGGAATAATTCCACTTCAATTGAGGCTACTCCAGAGTTACTGGCTAGAGAAGTATGTGAACTCAACTGTCTTTAAGAACATGACATTTGATTCACCACTGACATGCTAAGAGGTTTAAGAAAATATATAATTGAAGTGTGATCCACAGAGGAAGAATAAATATCACTTTCAAGGAGGACAATCAGGCAGAAGGTACATTAGCTAGCAGAAAGAGAGCTTCTTTGTACATGCATCAACACAGCCACATGAGCCCGTTCAGCAAAGATTTTAGGTTCAGTAGAATCATAGAATCATAGAGTTGGAAGAGACCACAAGGGCCATCGAGTGCAACCCCCTGCCAAGCAGGAAACACCATCAGAGCACTCCTGACATATGGTTGTCAAGCCTCTGCTTAAAGACCTCCAAAGAAGGAGACTCCACCACACTCCTTGGCAGCAAATTCCACAGTCTTGCCCGTTTGGCTGCCTCTTCCAATGTCTTCACCCTTAGAGCAACTGCAGTGCATTTAATCCAAATATATCTTGTTGAAAACGTTCACATTCTGCAGAAAGAGATGCTTACATTTCTGGCAGAACAGAGCAAATTGGCTAGTGCCCATGATGTCACAAAGGAACCTCCCTCAATCAATCACTTTTGGAAACTTTTTTTAAAAGCTGAGTGCTTTGTTTTACTGTTTAAACACGAAGGCAAGGGCATATAATTGTATTTGTGGTGCATACAGGGTGTGTGATGCTACACATAGGACTCACAATCAGGGGGTTGCAACCCGGTGGCATGTGCCTATGTAAGAAGGGCCACAGCTCCATTTGAGGGGCCCAGCTTTTCAGGCAGACGGTCTTGGGTTCAGCCCCAGTGGCATCTCCAGGTAAAGGCAGAATAGAATCCTGTCTGAAACCCTTTTACTGAACACATTTAGTGTGGGTTCAAGTTCTGCCCCTGTTTTTTATACTGAACTGTTTTATCCTGTTCTTTGTTTTATCACATGAAAATTTCTGTATTGTCTTATGAACACTTCTGTAAGTGGCTTTTGATATTGATTTCTGAAGAAAAGCAAGGCACTCATATTTACTTATTGAATTTCTATCCTGCCCTTTCTTCACAAGGAGCCCAGGGCAGCAAAAAGATGCACAATTTAGAAAAACAAGAACTAAGCAACAACATTCCAAAACATATTAAAACACACTTAAAACTGTTCTAAAAAGAGTTACAGTTTTAAAAAACAACAACACCCCAAAACATTATTCCAGCCAATGGAAGAAATAAATAAACATTAAATAAAACAAATTTTAAAAATAATTGTTAAATAATTAAGCAACTAACTGCTAACCCTCAAGTGGTAATACAAAGCGGTGGATGCAGCCTGTGAGGATAGATTGCTACACAACTTAACAAAACCTGCAGAAAAAACAGAAGGCAACTGTCACCAACTGCAATCTCTGGAAAGACCATTCCTCCTTTGTTAAAAAAAAAAAGGGTAAGAAACCTAACAAGCTTTCTGCTGCGCTTAACACACCCACACACCCCTGGTGGCTTGAGCCCCTGCAGATGTCACAAGGTGTGTTACTTGGGGAGCCAGGAAAAGGAAAGATGGTAAATCAAATCGCAGGGAGAGTTCTGTTCTGAGCCAACTGGAAAAGCTGCCTTCTCTGCAGGACTGGCTCTGGTTAATAAGGCAGAGGGGGAGTCGTTATGTCGTCACGCTCTCTGCTGCATACAGCCTGCCTTAAGAGAGATACGATTACCTGGAGACCCACTTCCTTTCCTGCAAATCCTTTCCTTCCGCTGTTAGAAGTACAATAAATTTGATTGGCCCAGGCCTGCTTGCAATGAAAGGGTAGGTTTACAACTAGTGCAAGTCTGCTCTTAATGACTTCTGAGCCCAAGGTAGTAACATGCAGCAGACCTATGGAGTGGGACGCTAGATACCTTTGCATGTAATGCTAAACCAGTGGTTCTCAAAGAGTGTGGGCATGCCACATTCAGGGTTCAAAATTAATGGACGCCAGTTGCATTTTGCGACTGGCAACTGGCCTCTTGTGACTTGATGGCACTTTCGGCACCTAGCCTCTCCACCTGCCTTGCCTGCCAGGCTGGGGGATTCAGGGTAGAGCAGCAGCAAAAGACGCAGTAAAAGGCAGCTTCATCGTACAGTTTTCAGCAAAAGCTGAAGACACAACTCTTTATGCTAACCTTTGACATCCGAGAGATATATTTTTAAAACCCATCTTATTTTTGTGACTGCGTAGGGTGAAGGGCTGGTCAACAGCAACAACAACATGACATTTTAAAGCTTGTTTTCACTCATAGAGTTTTAAAGATAAATTTCATCACTTTATTTTATTTTATGTAAACCACTTAAGAGTCGTTTGTTTGTTTGTTTGCTTGCTTGCTTACAATTCAGCAGTACAAAAATTCTGCAAAATAAATGAAATAAAACAAACTGGACCCACTTAGATTTGGGGGGGAGGGGAGAAGAAGACCGCTCACTTCAACAAGCATGCAAGCAGTTCATCACTCCCCCCCCCCCCGAGCGAAAGCACCTTAGTGTGCCTGCGATGTGGCTTAAGCCGCCCTGATTAGTGAGCACTATGGCACAATTTCAGCTCTAGTGACGCAGCTCCCCATAAGGCCAATCGCGTGTTCGTCACAAAGTACACAGGCCTTCCAGTTCATTAGCTCCTAATGTTATTAATGGCCTGTCTCGCCAGCTGCACATCAAATTGCCTGCTGTTTAATTTCATACAGTATCTCAACCTTCCTTCTCCTGCTCCCCAGTTTCCACAAGCTAGCAGGGGGATAAACCCTTGATGTTAACTCGAATACATTTCTTGCCCTTAAAAAAGAAGGAAACAAGTAACAGTGTACCTTCTCTGTCTCCTACATGGTGGGGAGATGCTATTTATTTATATGGGAAGCAAGGGCCTCCAACAGCATCACATGCAGCATTCAATTACGTGTATCAATAAAAAGGAGGATTTCATGCAGCTGCTTAATTAAGTCTCTGAGGCTCTGCTAGGCTTGTGGGGTGTTTTGTTTTGTTTTGTTTTGGCTACCTGGGTTCCCAGTGAGTTAACCATGCTGTGCAAGACAGGCTGAAAACCTTTTGCAATTTTGGGATGGGGGGGCACTCTGGGTTACAAGGCCTTTAACACTGTTCCCCATCACAGGAGCACAGGAAGCTGCCAAGTCAGACTATCAGGGCATCTAGTTTGATAGTGTCTACTCCAGGGGTCAGCAAACGTTTTCAGCAGGGGGCCAGTCCACTGTCCCTCAGACCTTGTGGGGGCCGGGCTATATTTTGAAGGGGGGAAAACACATAACCCAGAGATGCATTTTCAATAAAAGCACACATTCTACTCATGTAAAAACATGCTGATTCCCAGACTGTCCGCGGGCCAGGTTTAGAAGGTGACTGGGCCGAATCCGGCACCCAGGCCTCCGTTTGCCAACTCTGACTGGCAGTAGCTGTCCGGAGTTTCAGGCAGGGAGTCTCTCTCAGCTCTACCTGGCATTGCTCTCAGTGGGAATTGAACCTGGGACCTTCTGCGTGCAAAGCAGATGCTCTGTGACTGAGCTATGGCCCTTCTCCAATGATCATCACCACCCACACTGGGGCGAATTCAGCTGATTCTTATAAAGGTCTGCAGCCAGGAGTCAAACATCCACTTGCCGTGGCAACTGTTCCACTGCCTTTTAGCGAGTGTATGAAGAACAGCCCCAGCCATCCTCTCCAAATCCTAAGGAAGGTGGGGGGGGTGGCTGGTCCTGGAGTTGTGCTGTACTTGCAGTGCAGAAGACCTATGGGGGAGACCCACCCACCCACCTTCAAGCTACAGAAGGCACCTGATGATTACTATATGGGTGCACAGCTGCCAACATTCTGTGGGAATGTTCAGGGAGGCAGGACAGGATATATTGTTTAATGATATTTTTCCTAACTTGCGTTAGCAAGTTCTATATCTAAGCAGAGTTTAAACATTCCTCTTTTAAATGCATAGTGGTTTGCTTGTTGCAGGCTAGTTTTAGCCTCTAGATATATAGGATTCCTGGTAAGATCCCTTCTTGTCCCTCTTAAAAAGAATAAACACGACAATCTGATCAAAGTCAATATAAATGTAGTTTACTCAAATTCATTCAGTTCACAGTTGGATCCCTGAAGGCAGACTTATGTTACAAAAGCATATACATATGTGGAACTATCCCACAAGGGAGTTGGTTCCTAAGTGACTGTGAGCAAGCAGTCACTTCTCCTCAAACATAGAAAAACAAAATGGAGAAGAGCCAAAAGAGAGAGAGAGAGAGATGTGCTCCCTGCCTTGCTCATGTTCCCAGGCGGAGAGAGGGGGATGAGAGCACACCCTCCTCTAGTCACATGCAGAGGAAATTTGCCCCAGCTCAGGAGGAAACAGGAAGTTTTCTCCTGGCTGGTACAAAGCATCCCCTAGCACACTGGTCGACAAACTAAGGTCGGCGGGCCGGATCAGGCCCAAATGCCTTCTAGATCTGGCCTGCAGACGGTCCAGGAATCACCAGCGCACGTGTTCTTTCCCTCTCCCTCCCATGACGCCGCTTTTCTCCTCAGGAACGGAGCATCTTGTCTCATGCCGGGCGCCGTAGATGGCAGGAGTTGGCTGGCCCGGCTGCCTGCCTCAGCAGGGCGGCACCGTGTGACGCCGGCTGCCAGCTTCATTTTCCTCCTGCTCCTCCTCCCTCTCCCTCAGTCCGCCCTTCCTTCCTTCTCCGTGCCCCTTTTCCACGCTGCTTCCTTGCGCGCTTTCTTCGTCGCCCCTGCCTGCCTCCCTCCTTCCCTCCCTCCCTCCTTCATTCCTCCCATGGTGTTCAGATGGGTCATTGCAGTGGCCACAGCTGCCGCTTGCAGGTTGGCGGGCAACTCTGTCTTCTTCTCTGTGGTGCCTCTTGGGAAGCAGCAGCAGGTGGTGGGTAAAAGCTCCAGTGACTCCCCAGTTCCCCTACCTCTGTCTGCAGCTCCTCCGCCAGGGCTGCTGCTTCTGTCTTCGCCAGCCAGTGCAGCCTCCTACCCGCCACAGCGCCTGGCTGGCTGGAGAAGCCCAACTGCGGCTACTGGGATGACAACTGGGACAGGTAAAGCGAAGCATCTTCAGGCCTCTTTGTGGGCGGGTGAAAATCATTCATGCCCCCTCCCCTCCAAAAAAATATAGTCCGGCCCTCCACAAGGTCTGAGGGACAGTGGACCGGCCCCTGCTGAAAAAGTTTGCTGACCCCTGCCCTAGCTTGTTCACTCTAGGAATGTTGTACTTGACTGATATGCATTCCACACCCCACACATTCTCCAGGACAGCCATTCTTGGACCAGGATAGGGCTTGTCTTCAGCAACCCAGGCTCTAATAACATCATGTTCAGACTACTGCACTGTGCTTTACCTGGGGCTACCCATGAAGACTGCCCAGAAGCCACTCGGCCCAATTCAAGGTTTTCGGTCTGACGTACTAAGTCCTGAACATCTTGGAGCCCAAAGGCCTGACATAAGTTCATTTAACATAACTTTGTTTAGAAGGGTATCTGTACTGTTTGCTGCAGAACTTTCTTTCTAATCAGACTAGAGACCTCCTTTAGAAATAAAATTAATAATATAGAAGCTCAGAGCACCAACAAGGGCCTTTCACAGACCCCATGGCACTAGACATGTTTGTGATCCCCAGCTTTGCAGTTTTTAAGAGTGCCTTCCAAAAGTCTCAAAGCACAACTCAACCTGATGCCAAGAAGTTGACCCAAACGGGGTCCTTAACCCTCCAACTAATAAATAACAGAAGGCAGAAGAAAGGCTGGGGGTCAAATTGGTTAAAAAATGTGGAACAGAAGAGCTGTGTGGGCTGCAGCAGTGGTGGGGATTTTCTTGCCCTTCTGGATCAAGCCATATCTGAAAATACTTACAGCGGGGACTATAAAATTCTGTCGAAATCCAATCGGCCTCACTTTTGTTTGATGCTTTAGTTCCTGTCCATTTGCTGACACAACCTCTGCCCCTGTATCTGATTACCTGGGGATCTGATGCAGCTGACCAGGCAACCTATCATGGCATGTCTGGGAGTGGGAACAGCTGCAATGGCAGATATTGAAGCCTGAGGCTCCCACTTCCCTCGGGTTCCTGACACACGGCTGCTTTAAGTCTACCTGTAAGGGGTGTGCCGGCAAGAGTGCTTCAAGCAAAGACTCCCAGTGACTACCCCCTCCAACCTCAGCGCTCTGCTTCCACTACAAACCTACAAAATTGACTTCTGTGTTTTGGAGGGGGGAGGCCCTCCTAGGCTGCAATATCAGCCAACCTGAAACATCTTAGGCCACATACATCCCATGCATTTAAACAACAACAATATCATTTTAAACAGTCACAGCTTCTCCCACAAAGAATTCTGGAAGGTGTAAGTTTGTTAAGGGTGCTGAGAGTTCTCTGGGAAGAGGGTCTGATAGTTAAACCATCCTGGGAATTGTAGTTCCAGGAGGAGAATAGCGGTCTCCTAACACCTCTCAGCACCCTTATCAAACTACAGCTCCCAGAATTCTTTGGGGGAAGTTATGACTGCTTAGAATGGTATCATTGTGCTGTAAATGCAGTGTGATTGTAACCATGGTCTCTTACACACAAAGACCAGAAGTCTTCACTCTTGGGTTCCCAGATGGTGTTGGACTCTAATTCCCATCACCCCCAGTCAATTTAGCCAAAGGCAAGGGTTGATGGGAGTTGTAGTCTAAAAACACCCGGTGACCCAAGGTTGAAGAACACCACACTAGACTCTGCAAGCTCTCCTCTGATGCCACCATGCACAGATTCAGCATCACTCGGGGCATTTATTTAGTCTTCTGGCTGCCATCCAAGGGCACTGTGTGTTTCAGCCGCAAATGCAGTGCTTTTAAAATTAATTTCCTTGTTAAAAATAAGCAATGGTGCCATTCCTCAGACACAGCCTCCAGCACCAGTTTGACACATTAGGAATTCCAGCCAGATTGGTATTTGCTGCTAAGTGGGGAGGACACAAACAAAAATAGGACAGAGAATCCAGGAGACATCAACACACAAGACATCTTTTCTTCTATGCTTACAAGCGCTGTGGTACCCAAAACATTATCTGATCCTCCTTTCCTGCACTTTCCTGCACTTTCCGAAGGATGTAGGCAAATTGGGAAAGGGTCAGAGAAGGGCAACAGGGATGGATGCGGAATGGAAAGGAAGAAGTGGGTAAGGTACCCTGCAAGGTAAGTGAGGCTGAGAGATGGCAGTTGGCCCAAGGTTAAGCAGGGAGAATTGCTGAAAAGCAATGATTTAAACCCAGGCCTCTCCAGTGCAATAGTATGGTCTCTGTCCTGCCCTGTGTATCTGAACTCTGGTGTTCTAATCAAATTCCTGTTAATAAAGAATATCCTTTGGACAGGATAGAAATTCTCATAGAATCATAGAGGGTTATCTAGTCCAACCCCCTGCAATGCAGGAAATGTCAAAGTGGGGCTCAAATCCATGGCCCTAAGATGAAGGCTCTCATGCTCTACAGACTGAGCGATCCTGGCAGATGGTCAACACACATGTAGCATTTGCTCCAGAATACTCCCCAGCTCAGTATTCATGAGCAAGCTCATCCCCGAATAATAATAAACACATATTAAGTACATTTGCACTTTTTTAAAAAAAGAAATGAATTATTATTATTCCAGTCCACTGACACACATTACTGACCTCTTTATAGAAAAGGCAATGGTGTGTGTGTGTGTGGGGGGGTGACTTTTGTTCTATTGAGCAATATAGAACCCACATATTCAACAACTTGCATTTCTGTCTCGTTTTCCCACGGAGAGCACTCAGAAAGCTAAACCCTAAAAATGCCAACCCGTTGCAATTTGATCTAAGACTCTGAGTTGATTCTCTATGTTTAAGATAATTACTAGAATGTGCACGGTTTTCTACTTTCATTCTTTGGCAATTACAGGCGTTTAATGTGTTACCAGCTACAGAGCTGCATTCTTTGGTCGATGCCACGGAAAGTCACATCCCTACTAATTATGGCTTTGCTGGTGCTCCTTCCAAAGAGTAAAGGGTTTGGGATCAGAAGCCCTGTATGAAATGGTCAGAAGCGAAATGGTCAGGAGTTACTTGCAGGAGAGGAGAAGGAGGAACTCCAAATTCCTCTACACATAAGAGGCGTTTTGCAAAGCAGCAGTTCAGGAGAAATTGTACACGTACACACACTAGTCTTGCTGCAAATAAGATTGTTCAAGGCACTTGTTCAGAGCCACTTTTAAAAAAGCAAAAAATAAATAAAAATTGACCTGCCATAATGGCATTTCATGGATGAGCCGCTCCATAAAAAGTATCATCGTCAAATGGCAATTCTCTGTGACATGGATGAGTGCAGCTCTTGGGATATGCAGTGGCAAGATAAGGTTTCTGGCAGATGAATCCAAAGCAAGCAACAAACAGTGCCTTCCGCTTTGCAAGGCTCACGTTCAAGCTTTCTGCGACTAGCACACCAGAGCATTAAAGTGCTGGGAAAGGGACAAGAAACAATCCAGGGCGGTCTTCACCTTAGAACTGGTGCCTCCAGATATTTT